TTTCTGCAACTGAAAACCCACAAAAAACTATTAGGAGTTTAAAAAAAGTGCCTACAAAATAAATATATTGCTTCCCTATTTGTAAGCCATCACCAGTTGGAAAACAGAATGGAAAAAGTGTCCAAATCACAATCACATAAAAACTCCCCTAATACTAAATGAGAAATGTGTAGAGAAATCGAAGACTTCACTGGGAGACATGAAGTCAGATTTTAATAAAGGGACACCCTATTCCTTATAGAAAGACTCGTAAAAGTGGCAGCTGTATGGAATTTATTTTCTAAGTTTGAGACAATTTCAGTCAAAGTTCCGGTGAGTGTTTCTTTGACGGCGGGGGTGGGGGGGTTGACTAAATGGAATTCCAATAAGAATTCCATTGGTATTTTTAAAAGCCTGGTAAACTGATTCTAAAGTTCACTTGGAAGAATAAACATGCGGTGATTGCCAAGAAAATGTTGAAAGTAAGGATAATGAGAGAGGACTTGCCCTGCCAAGATATAACATATTCTAAAGCGACTATAATTAAAACCCATATTGCTGTACTCCAAGACAGAGCAGTGAAACAGAACAGAAGGCCCAAAGACAGACCCTGGTGTATATAATTATTTAGCATATAATAAAGTTGGCGTTTGAAATCAGTGGGGAAGGGACGGGTCATTCAATAAAACATACTGGGACAATTGATCACCTATTAGGAAAAAAATGGCGAAGTAGATTCCCATGCACATCAGGTGGCGAGAAATTACAGATGGATTAAAGAATTTAAAGAGCAAGTCATGACGTAGACAAGTAAAAAAAAAGAATAATATTTATATGAAATTGGGGCATATGGGAGGGCCTTTTGAAGTATAGTTGGATTGAGTTTTCTTTGTCCAGTTTTTTCTTTTAGTAGTGTGCATAATATTTCTATTCTTGTATTTTTTTTTTTAGAGAGAGAGAGAGTGTAAATGGGAGAGGAGGGGCAGTGGGAGAAGGAGAGAGAATCTCGAGCAGGGTCCCCACTGAGTGTGGAGAGCCTCACATGGGTCTTGATCGCACAACCCTGAGATCATGACCTGAGCTGAAATCAAGAGTCGGACGCTTAAGTGATTGAGCCACTTAGGCGCCCTTTTGTTCTTAATTGTTAACACACATATTCACATTTACAATGTCTTACATGGGGTTTCTCAATATCTGTAACCTTTTGAGGAATGAGACAAGAGCCTTAGCACATCTCCATGTTATGGCCATTCTCCCACCCCCATTTCTTATGACTTAGATTCTTCCCCCTTTCCTCTCCCTCTTTGTGTGTGTGTGTGTGTGTGTGTGTGTGCGCGCGCGTGCGCGCGTGTGCACATGCGTGCACATGTGTGTTAAGATTTTTAATTTTTTTAAAAATGATTTTATTTGTTTATTTGACAGAGACACAGCGAGAGAGGGAACACAAGCAGAGGGAGTGGGAGAGGGAGAAGCAGGCTTCCCGCAGAGCGGGGAGCCCGATGCAGGGCTCCATCCCAGGACCCTGGGATCATGACCTGAGCCGAAGGCAGATGCCTAACGACTGAGCCACTCAGGCGCCCCAAGATTTTTTTTTAATGTTTTTATTTATTTTTATTTTTTATTTTTTTTAGCTTTTCCTTAACCCCAAGATTTTTAATTTTTAAAGTAATCTCTACACCCAGGGTGAGTCTCGAACTCACAACCCAGAGATCCAGAGTCGCACACTCCACTGACTGAGCCAGCTGGGCGCCCCTCCCTCTGTTTTTTGTTCTTTCTTTCACCACTATTGCTTCTGCCTCTTTTCATTCATTTGTTTTGGTTATTGTTTTGTGGGGTGTATAAACTCTAGTACTTCTTTTGTGGGAAGTAAATTTTCTAAGTCCTTGTATTCTGGAAATGCCTTTATTTTGGACCCCCTCTGGGATACCAGTTTGGCTTTATATGAGGTTTTAGGTTGAAATGACTTTTCCTAAGCCTTTGAAGCTACTGCTCTATCATATTCTAGAATTCAGAACTGCAGATGAGAAATCTGATGTCAAAATTATTTTTGTTCTGTTGTTGGTAATCTTATCTCTGTCCTCTACCTGCGCCTGCTGGACATGTTGGAATGATCTCAGATACCCTCACCCTTCAGTCTTTTCTTCCTCCATACCAATGGATGCTTGATAATTTCTTTTCTTAATCTTTGGGGAATTTTCTTTTTCTGTTTTCTTTGATTAGACCTTTACCATTCTCTCTCTCTTTTTTTTTTAAGATTTTATTTATTTATTTGAGAGAGAATGAGAGAGAAAGCACATGAGATGGGGGGAGGGTCAGAGGAAGAAGCAGACTCCCTGCCGAGCAGGGAGCCCGATGCGGGACTCGATCCAGGGACTCCAGGATCATGACCTGAGCCGAAGGCAGTCGCTTAACCAACTGAGCCACCCAGGCGCCCTACCATTCTCTCTTGAACGTCCTTTTAGATGGGTATTAAAATTTTTGGATCTATCATACAGGTTTTGCATCATTTCTTTGATTCCTTCTCACCCTTTTTATGGAATTCTGGGATATTTGCTCAGTTTAGACTTCCAGTTTGCCAAGTTCCTCTTTAGCCATGCCCATTCGGTTGTCAGCCCAACCACTGAGTTTCCAGTTTGGGCAGTAATATTTTTCATCCCCTGACCTGTGTTTTTCTTTGACTCTTGATTTTGTTTCAAAATGGAGGTAGGCTTATTTCACCTGATTATATAACTAGTATATACTCATTGAAAACATTTTGAACAATGTAGAAAAACGTAAGGTTGAAAGTGAAAATAACGGGTGTTCTGTGAAAGGGAGCTATGTGCCAAATGACCTCCAAAGGCTGAAGGGGTTGAAGGACCAAAGAAAAAGGCCAAGTCCAGCTTGATAAGAAATGATTTAGTAAGGGGACTTAGGGACAGAAGCAGGTCTTGAGTGGCTGCAGGACAAGTAGATCTCCACCCCACCCCACCCCCCGCCTTCCATAGGATCTGCTTTTATAACCCCAGAGGCTGGGGAATACGTGTTGGTATACACCTGGGAGAGATGCTCAAGGATAGTTGTGTGTCATAGTCATATCTCCAGAGCACGTCAAGGACATTAAGTTCCAATGATGTATTTGAGGGTGTGGTTAGACAAGAAAGAATGAGGCTGGGGATGGTGCTCAAGAAGACTTCAGGTCACAGAGTCATCCTCATGGTGGATTTGTCCAGATGTCATTGGTCTGGTTCACATGATGGGCAATCCTACCGCCCAGAGATAACCATCACTGGCTTTTGTTGACCACTGTTCATAAATTTCTCTCAAGGTCCATAAACATATAGGCACAGAGGGGACACACACACACACGTGTGTACATGATTTGACACAAATGTCTTTATACAAAGCATATATAACTTCTAAAATGCAGTAGCTACTAAAACAGAAAATGGAGTAAGCAAAGGAGAAAGAAATTGGCCTCTTTGGACATCTTCTTGGTTTAAAATTTTGTATTGCGAAAAACATCAAACATCTATTAAGGTAGATAGCTTAGTATAATGAATCCTCATGTGTCCATCACTCGGGTTCAAGTAATAATCAATCATGATTAATTTTTATTCCATCTATAACCCTCCCTTTCTCCTTCCTGCATACTGAATTTTTTTTTTTTTTTTAAGTAGGCTCCATGTCCAGTGTGGAGCCCAATGCAGGGCTTAACCTCATTCATGACCCTGAGATCAAGACCTGAGCTGAGATCAAGAGTCAGATGCTCAACCAACCAACCAAGCCACCTAAGTGCCCCCTGAGTTATTTTTTTTTGAAGATTTATTTATTTGAGAGAGAGAGTGTGAGCATACGTACTCCCCAGCCTCTGGGACTATAAAAACAGGTCCTATGGAAGTGGGGGGCTTGTGCAGATCTACTTGTCTTGCAGTAGATATGTGTGAGGGAGAGGGTCAGCAGAGGAGGGAGCATTGCTGTGTATTAAAAAAAAAATTCTTTTTTTCTCATTGCTTCCCTGTGATGTCATTTAACATATGCCTCTGTCACTTGTATTTTCTGTAAACTGGTAGTTGGATCAAAAGGCTTGAACTGATTCAGGTTTGATTATTTTAGCAAGAGTACCTTGTAGGTGGTGGAGTACTTCCTGGTACTTTCATCGGTAGGCAGAGTGAGTCTTCTTGTGATGTTAGCAGCCACTGATTGTTGCCCAGGTCCCTTGTCTCGCTAGGGATAGTCGCGAACTTTCCTGGCCTGTTTTCATTAGCTGAGAATGCTCTTTGGAAAGATTCTGAGCCGGTTCCTACAGCGTGGTACATGTCCTCCAGGAGCCCACTGTTTAGAGTTTATGAAAGTTAGATTTAATACAGTCTCTGACCACCCCTTCCCCCAAGCAATAGAATCCCCAGATGGGGGAGCCATATCATAGGTGCCTTTAACTCATTGGAGTTCAAATATATGTATGTGTGTATTCGGTTGCAAACTACTACAGTAACAAAGGAAACACTGCAGGTTTTTCCTCCACTCTTGCACTCAGTTGGCATTGCTCTTGGGTGAGATGGGGGCACGGGTCTGCCATGCCTGCTCGCTCTGTTTTTCTACGTGGCCCTTTGTATCAGGCACGTCTCTCTGCGTGTGATTCTAGTGTTTAAATATATGTGCTCCTTGTTCATTCTGGACCTAAACCCAAGCCGACTACTTCATGTGGTGCCCGATCTAAGAAACCACATTGTATTTCAAAACCAGTGCAAGACCTGACAACTGAAGGGATCTTCTGGGGGGCGGTGTAATTTTGAGTATTTGTGGTCTTTTGAACCCCAGTTACCTTTAGAAGTTTAACTGATTTGCCGGGTGCAGTAGCAGTTTGGTTTCAATAAAGGGCAAGGTGGGGAAGCTGAGCCATTGTTCATCTTGCTATAAAACCTTTCTTGTTGCGAAGTCCAGGTATAATGATCTCTTTCCGCCCTTTTCCCTCTCTTCCTCCTCTCCACTTCCCTTCATTCCTCCCTCCCTCCCTCCTTCCCTTGTTTTCTCTTTTGCAGTCTGCTGTTTTGTGGTTCACAAGCGGTGCCATGAGTTTGTCACCTTCTCCTGCCCAGGTGCCGACAAAGGCCCAGCCTCTGATGTAAGTAACGGGCACTGGTCCCCTTTATCCACCCATAGTCAGTGTGTCCTTTTGGGTAACTATGGCTGCGCTTAGACCAAAAAAAAAAAAGGTGGGCTGTTCTTATTCTGAGACATGGGGTGGTCCCTACAGCCTCTGAGACATTTTTCATTTTAACAGGAAGGACAAAACAATACATTTTGGGAGTGGGGTATGATGGTATACGAAACCAACTAGTTCCCCTACTATGGTTTTGCTAAATGTCTTCATCTTTACGGCTGGGGCGTGGAGAGTGGTGGTGAGCTGCTAAATTGTTCCTGCTACTCTAAAAAGATAGTTAGAATGGTACCTTAGGATGTACTTTATAGCTCTTTGTTAGGGAATTCTTGATACCAGGGCCCAAGAAGTAGGAGGGAAATGGGTTTATCCTGCTACCATGCATCCTAAAGACTGGCTACTATTGGTGGGGCAGGGGGATCCTTCTGGGTAAAACAGGCAAGTAAGTTTTATTTTAATCAGTATGAACTTATTTTAATGTAGATTGGAAAAATGTATGTAGTAGTGGTTTTGAATTTATGGTAGGGATAGAGAATTTCCTACCTAAATAAAGGTATTTAGGTTAAACAAAAGATAGGTTGACTTAAGGAAACTATTAAGTGAATGACCCCATGGGCTCTATAAGGATATGGCAAAAGCCCTGGTTTAAGTTTGTCCAAAGCTTGGAGTACATTGTTGATCATCTACTCAACAGCAATTCCTAGCCCTCACTCTCTTCTTTCTGGCAGAGGCTGCCTCTCATGCTACAAGCTGGAAATGCCTGATACTTGCATCACTAACCTGTAGTTAGTGAATGATCATGTGACCCAGTCCTGCTCAGTGGGACCTTGGGGGAAGTCTGGGGAGAGCTTCTAGGAAAGACTTTCCTTTCTGATAAAAGCAGACATCCCTTCCTTTTTCCTGTTGGGTGTTTTTGTGTGAGGATAAAATGGATGGGGTTGTGGCAGCACTTTTGGGTTAATGAGGGAGATGTACTTGCATCCTGAGCATCACAGATTGGAAGAGTCAAAGGAACCTGGGTCATTGATGACACTGGTGAGCTGCTGAGCCAGCTGTGAGTTCTCTTATGCCCAGACTGCATCTGTGAGATAAGAAGCTCCTCTTAGTAAAGTCTCATCGTTTGGGGTATTCTTTAACACGTTGCTGAAAGTGCCCTGGTAGGACTTTCCACCGTGCACACTCCTCCCTTGGCCCAGTGATGAGCTGCGTTCAGCAGACCCCATGTGCATCTGTCATCCCTAGTTCTCTTATTTTGTTCCTACTTTGGTTCACCTGCCTAGAATTTTCCCCATTGGCATGGTCTTCATTCCTGGCCCTGTCCTTACCCACTTAGACCTGACAGTGGACAGCTTGTCAGAAGTGAGTGGTGACTGCCTTCTGTCATTGCATTTGCAGACTGTTGTCAGCCTTCTGTACGTGGTCATCTGCCACTTCGCTACACATCAGGGGCAGAACTGTCACCGCAGCAACACAAACATTCTGGAGCTTGTAGGGCAGTTCCTTTGCTTGGAACCTGGTACTTGGGTTTAAGGACCCCAAGTAGCCCAGAACCACAAAAGCCCTTCCAGACTTGTCTGCAGAGATGAAGATGGGACTGTTCGCCATGTTCTCTGAGCTCACACTTCCTGGCACTTTTAGTGCAGTTCCTTCTCTCGTCCCCAGGAAAACAGGCGGGGAAGTTTGGGGTGGCAGTCTGGCTCTATTATGGAGCTCTGAAGCTTCCTGCAGCCTGAGGCTTGAGTCTCACACTGCAGCCAAGAGGCTGGCGTTTCCGACATCTGGTCTATATTTGTTGGCTTTTTCTGTTGCCTGAGACAGAAACTCCACTCAAACTGGTTTATGTGAAAAGGGAAACTTTTGGTCCCTGAAGCTGAAAAGCCTGAGGGTAGACTGGCTTCAGACACAGAGGATGGTTATGCTGATTGGCCAGGTGTGGTTAGGTGCCTACCCCTGGCAAGAAAGCCCCGTGTGGCCACCCTGTGATTTAGGAGTCGGGGAGCCATGGTCCTTTGGAGAACTGGAGAAGCAGAAGTGTACTGGTTAAAACCATAGACTATGGATGGAGCCAGCATTCCTAGGCTCAGATATGTGTGACCTTGGGCAAAACAAAGTACTTAAATCTCTTTGTCCCTAGATCCCTCTGCTGAAAAATGGATAAAACCATAGTCCCCATCTTATAACCTTGTTAAGAGTGTCCGGTGTATACCTATCTGTAAAAGCGTCTGGTTCATGGCAAGAGCTATATATGTGAGGATGGTGATGGCAGTGATAATGAATAACGGTGAATATATGCCAGGCAGGCGGCTAGGACAGATGGCTACCACGTAAGTCTGAAGAATTAACGGGCCCTCTGCCTGCCACTTGGCAGGCCTTCCAAGGAGTGTGTAGGCTCCGTAAGTGGTAGGAGACCCCTGTCTCTATGAATGGAGAAGCCCAGCCATTCATTGCTTCGGGGGTGGGGAAGGGCGGGCAGTACTCCCTGCAGGCAACATGCATAGGATTTGGCAGCCGACTTGGAATGATTCTATCTCTGGACACAGTTCCAAGAAGGTCAGCTGGCACCAGGGATGATGAACTGGTCCAGACTCCTCAACTGGCTTGACTCATTTCATTGACCTTTTCCCGTCCATGGCTGGAGACGTGATTAAAGATCTGGCCACACCTGCTTACCAACCTGGCCAGGCTCTCTTTTGGCTGCTGGGAAGACTCCTGCAGTCCTGGAGGGATGCTGTCCTCCTGTGTGACCTTGGAGGAACTGGTGTGCTGTGAGCTCATGGAACAGGCAAGCACAGTCTCCATCTGTGCAAAGGGAGTGTGCTAGGCTCCATCCTCTCCCCTCTCTGCTATTCTAAGCCCAGGGAATGTTCTGGACATTAGTAGAACTTTGTGTAGTCGGTGTTCTTCTACAGAAAGGTCCACATTACGGCATATCAGGCTACCTGAGGAAACTTGATGAACCAGGCTCTGTCCCAGTGACTTCAATCACTGACCCAATCATTCCATGCAAATGGGAATAGACAATATATATATATATATATAGGCATCAGCCAGTGGAGGACCTCAAAATATGGCAGAGTTCCTGGCTGTTAACTTCTGGTCATCTGCAGGCACGGTCTTGGTCTCCCCTGGTTGGAAACTCTCAATTGTGCTCTCTTGGACCTTGTAGAGAGACCAAGTCTCTGGTACCACCATAAGCATTACATATGACATTCTATGAATGCACTTAGAATACTAACCACATACCCAGCCTCCCGAGAGATCGTCTCAGAATAAGAAAAGGGGACTTGTCTCTTGGGGCCAGAACTAGGGTGAGTCAAGCAGGGTACTTGTCCTGGGCACCATATTTAAGGGGTTCTCTCCTGTGTCTGCAGGATGATCTAGGATGGCCCCACTCGCATGACAGGCAGTGAGACCCTTATCAGCCTGGGCCCCTTGGTTCTCCTCCACATCACCTGTCATCCTCCAGCTGGCTCGCTCTGGCTTGTTCACATGGTGGTTTCAGGGCTCCGAGAGGAGCAAGAGAGCATGTCCCAGCACATACCATGTTTGATAATGTCCCACTGGACAAAGTAGTCTAATGACCAAGCCCAGATTCAGGTGGGAAAGAAATAGACTCCACTCTTCATGGGGGTTGTCAGGGGAGACTCTCTGGTCAATCTACTGAGATCCTCTTAACCTGAGTGGTAGAACAGAATTCCTGGGGACCATCACACGGGACTTCATAAAAGATCCGCAGATGTTAGTGTGGTTCAGAGAGTCATAGCCAACCTCATAAGAGGACACATCTCATTATTTCCCTGCCCCACGTTCCTGTATGATTTAGCCATCTCCAGCTACAAATGGGAAGCTAGGCAATATCTTGATCATGTCCAAAGACAATGGTGGTTAGGACTGTGAACTCCACAGTCAGACATATCTGAGGTCAGGTCCTGTCTCAGCAAGTTACTCATTAGGGGGACCTCGGATGTATCATTTTCCTTCTCTGTGTCTCAGTTTCCTTCTCTGTAAACTAGGATATTAGTACCAACCACATAGGTTTGTTGTAATAATTTTTAAAAAAATCCTTAAAATGAAAAAGGGTTAACAACAAACACAACAGCATCAACAGCAAATGGATTAGGAAGCCATTGTGTGAAAGTGCTTAGCACAGTGCCCGCAACACAGGAAGCCCTTGATACAAGTAGCTAAGGGCCTGGCGATTGCTCTCTCTATCCCAGAATCTTGAATGTACTCATAATTCTCTACAGTCCTCCACCCCGAGCCTGCCCTTGTGATGTAATTGATGTCTCCATTTCCATGACTTGACACAAAACCTCCAAGTCTGAGAAAAGAGCCTGGACTTTGGATCCAGACAACCTTGGTGTCAAATTCCATTGCTCTCATTTACTTACTCCTCCAGCGATCTTGGGAAAATAACTTAAGTTCTGTGATCCTTAGTTCATCTCTTTAAAATGAGGAAAATAATACCTAAATCGTGGTTCTTTTTTTTTTTGGGGGGGTGCATATTCAATGAGAGACTGCTTGAGCCACATCCAGAATAGTGTCTGGCACAAAAAAAGGCACTCAGCAAATGGTTTCTGAATTATTATTAATCCCTGGATGAGTCTCTCCTACTCAAGAAGGGATGCAGGTTACCTTGTGACCTGCCAAGGAATAACAGCCAATGATAATAGCTAATTTTTGTTGAGCAAGGGCTCTGTGCCAGGCAGGACAGAAGTTACAAAAGGATTCCTTAGCTGCTTTGTCTAAAGACACTTTCTTCAACATTTTATGGTTTTAGCAATGATTTCTTACTGTTTATAGTCAAGATGCAGAATAAAACCCATTTTATGCCCTGTGTCCTCCCAATTACATCACTGGATCAGGGCAGTTAAAGATGATGCACACTGATGTTGAGCATATCCTTTTGTGTTTTTATTTTATTTTTTAATTTTTAATAAAAGGTTGTTTGTTTTTTTTTTTTT